ATATATATATATATATCCTACTTGAACAGGAGCTCAGTCTAGAAGACTTCTGTGTATGCAGTCTTCAGTGCTTTAATTTTTCACATTTAAGAAAAGCCATTGTATTCCAGTTGAAAGTTCAGTTCCATAAAACTAATACTGTCATTACATGAGTCACTTTTTTAATGGCATGTGGTTCTAAAAACTGAGTACATTAATTATTTGTAATAGCTTTTCAGTAAAAGTAGGAAGTGCATCTGACATCCTCTCTTGTGTAAGCAACATTTAGGCATGTTTCCTATGGGTTGAAATGTTACACCCATCCTCTGAGTGTATTATTTTCTCTTTTGGGAAAAAACGTATATGATAATATCACAAAACAGCTGTGGTATGTCAATCCTAAGGGCAACACTACAGGGATAAGTTAATATTAACTTAATAGTAACCACAAATTTAGTTGGTTGGGTTTTGGCTTTGCCAGCTATTAAAACCATTAAGACCTCAGGTTACCTATGAATCAGGCTACTACAGTATGATTTATTCAAGAAACCATGGATGAAAAAAAGTGGCTTTGCCAGAATTATATGTGAACTCAGCAACAGTTCGTTAGTGAAGAGTTCTGAAACTTCTATAGAAAAATGTCTAAAACAGGGAGAAAGAGCTGCCCTCATTTATCATCACTGACAATCCTCCATGGCATTTCACGAAAATTTGTGAGATTTTAAAGATCCTAGATGTAACTAATATCTCCATGATGTTGTGAATTCAATTATTAGGAAGGGCAGACAGATACCCAAACATCTACATAGTTTTAATACCCTGTCTTTAATTTTAACATTGGTAAAATGTTACAAGCCTCGTCTACAATACATATTCCTTTTTCTCATCTTTGTAAAAAATGTAGGGAGATTTCAGTAAAGATAGAATTAATAGTAATTAGTTCTGTGCATTCTTTATTTTCAGGATAAAGAATTTAATTTACACTTCACAGCACAGAACTGGTAAGATGCTTTTCCTGCATTCTATAAATTTATCTACTGATGCTCTGGATGCTTTTAAAATAAACTCTCCCGGGAGTCAACCTGGTGACTACATGAACATATCCATGTTGTTTTCTTATCATCATTACAGAATTAATTTGCCATCTGTTTCAGTGGTGGGTTGCCAAATTTTTACTACCAGTTCGGGTGCACTCCTGTCCGAATGCACAGAAGTGTACAGGTGGGTGGGCAGAGCCTTCCGCCTATGCAACTACTGGTTTGCCTGATCCAGGCTGAACCGGGAGCAACCCACCTCTGATCTGTTTCTGTCTTACTCTATTTATTTGACTTTCCAGTGCTGATACCTTCTGGGTGGTTTCCTATCCAAGTAATAATCAGGTCTAGCCTTGCTTAGTTTTCTGAGATCTGCCCGAGATGGCAAGGTGTTCTCATCTGCTGGACAGTTTAAAAATGTATTTCCAAAAATATGTTTGCTATCGAGCGTGTGATCCCCAATTAACACCTTTTCACTGCAGTTTGCTAATAAAAAGGGTTTAGTTTTATTGAATTTGTTTTTAAGGTTGAGAATTATAAATCTCTGTCAAAATTGCACTCTACTTTCGGGGTGTAGGTGGAAGGACGTCTTCTTGCTAATGAACTTAACTTTCTAAACTTAGGATAGAATGGCTTTGGAGTTTTCATCCTCTGAGGATGTGGGTATGATGTAGCGAGATAAATATGACCAAAATCCAATATCATGCCATTACATCAGGCGAGGGAGTGTACATTTTTTAGGAGGAATGCTATTGCATTAAGAGTATATCTCTCTATTTCCATATGAAATCCCAGCATGATTCATGGTCACAATGCGGCAGCAGAAAAGTTTGCACAAGAAGGGATCTGGGCAGGGCTGCAGCTTTTTGCAGAGCAGTGTGGAATATAATCCTGTGTAACTGGGATCTATTTATGGAGTATACATCCTTCTAACACAAGTTATGATCCAGGATAAATATTTGTGGGGTCCTTGAAGCTCTCTGAGCTTGCTTGTTTTCTTGCAGATGTTTCATTGTCCAAATGCACTAATGGTGTTACCTAGTTTGGGTAATGAAATGTCTGCAAGAAAACAAGCAAGCTCACAGCGTCCCATGGACCGCTCATTTTAGTCCTGAGCTACAAATATTATTCTTTATTGACAAATATTTGTGTTCCAGCACATCAGACCTGGATGTACGCTTAGGGTTTGATCTTTGTCCAGAAGAAGAGGCTTTCCTGAAAAAACGGAAGAAAGTGACTGCTGCTGCTTTCAAAAATATTCTCCAGCTTGAGGATGATCTGGAGGAAGATGAGGTTAAGAATTCAGTTTTTATATTGATGGAAATTCTTCTGTGAGCAGTTTACTCATTGGGAAACAAACAGGTTACAGTGTTTAATGCTTGTAACTTTCAAGCGTCTTTTCTTTAAATGCACCGAAGCTGTCACCTGCAGTTTCATGTCCTTGCTTAACTCATTCTGAGTTTTTTTTCCTTCATGGCTGGGCTATTTATAACAGACCCCTCCCTTATTATTGCCAACGCAGAGAGGTGATGTCAGACTCAGGCCTGATTTGCAACTCCATGTTCAAACCATAAGGTCAGAAAATAGGATTAGATGAGTTAAAGGTCCAGAGAATACTTCTGTATTCTTACTTTCGTTCTACATAACTTCACAATCAGGCTAACTTTATTAGTCTTGTAACAGTAGGAGACACACAGCCCCTTTACTTTTCTTCAGGTTCTTGGATGAACTACATCATTCCATAGCATGAGACATTCTTTAACAAGAATGTACAGCCTATATTAGTTCAGCCTACATCCCTTCCTCATTTTTTTTAAAGCAAAATGTTTGAGCCCATTTGGTGAAGCCGAGGTCACAGCAGGAATCCTGACAAGCTGTATGATGCCCATAAGCATCATACATTCGGCATTCCTGCTCTACATCTTGACTTCATAGAGTTATTAGCATATATAAGATGATCTGTCAGCTTCGCTCATTACAGGTTCCCTGTTTCCCTGAAAATAAGACCTCCCTGGATAATAAGCCCAATTTTGAGCGCATGCACTAAAATAAGCCCTCCTCTGAAAATATTGCAGCACAGCAGCAGCCATGTGGTGACCACGCTCACCACCTCCTGCACCTCAAAAATAATAAAACCTCCCCAAAATAAGCCTAATCGCTTATTTCGGGAGTCAAAAGAAAATAAGACCCCATCTTATTTTTGGGGAAACACAGTAGTTCTCGACTTACAACAGCACTGAAAAAAGTGACTTATGACTGTTTTTCACACTTACAACCATTGCAGCATCCCGTGGTCACATGATCAAAATTCAGAGGCTTAGTAATTGACTTATATTCATGACGGTTGCAGTGTTCTGGGGTCAAGTGATCCCCTTTTGTGACCTTTTGATTAATAAAGTCAATAGGAAAGTCAGATTCACATAACAAGCGTGTTACTAACTTAACAACTGCAATGATTCACTTAACAAGTGTGGCAAGAAAGGTCGTAAAATGGGGCAAAACTCACTTAACAAATGTTTCATTTAAAAACATAAATTTTCAATTGTGGTCGTGGCTCGAGGACTACCTGTAATAGATTTTTTTCATCTCTGAGCCCCTAGACAGCCTTCTTTTGAATAAGGATTCTGCCAGGTTCTCTAAGTATGTCAGGTCCCTGAGCATGTTTCATAGGAATATCTATTTAAAATGTTGTGATTGAAAAGTTTAGGTATCTCACAGTGATTATATATTTATTATTTTGATGAACAATTGTGTTTTCCCTGTGTTCAGGTGCCAGTGGTGGCAATCATGACGACAGGTGGTGGGATCAGAGCACTTACGGCGATGTATGCTCACCTACTGACATTTCAGGAATTAGGTGCTTTGGACTGTGTTTCCTATCTCACCGGATTGTCTGGCACAACATGGTAAGCCTCATGTAATCCAGTAAGATGTTCCTGAAATAATAAGATGAAATTTTATTAATGTTCTTCACTGGAGGTTTTTAAGAAGAGATTGGACAGCCATTTGTTCAGAATGGGTCTCCTGCGTGAGGAGAAGGTTGAAACCTCCAAGGTCCCTTCCAACTCTGTTATTCTATAATTCTGCAAGTTATAATGAGATGTTTTTAAGGCAGATTTTGTATAAGAGACATTGCGGTAGCATTCATTGATGCAATGGATACAAAACAGTCTACAGCGTAATTAAAATCAGGAGGCACAAATCCACTGCATATTACTGCAGAATCGGTATCATTTGCAAGGAAGGTCACAAGGAGGTAAGGTCAGGCTACAGCAGCTGGCTGAGCTGTTGGTGGAATCTGACAGCGATGAACACTATGGGACTGCCCTGGAGGCTGAGGAAGACTCTGGAAGGTGTTTGGAGTCAGAGCAGAGAGAGGCCTGTTGGCCACCAGGTGGCATCCGAGTCAGGGAGCAGTGAGGAAGAACAGAGGGAGGCTGTCCCTGACGTACGTATCCGTAGGGTTGCGAGGAGGAGGGAGCAGCTTTGGAAATTTTTTTGCAAGAAACAACAATTTATTGATCCAGCCGTAGAGAAGGATTGGGCGAATTTTGTGAGTTCAAGCCTTGTTTCATAGAGATAGTTTTCTGGTCTCCCAGCCAAGGGGTTGCTTATCTCCCTCCTTAGTTGTGGCAGACAGCCAAGTCTGCATCCGTATATATTGTAGAAGCTTGGGACAGAACACATACCAGTAAAATGCCAGGTGCACATGCGGAAACAAGTAGGCATGTGAAATGATTGTTTCTCCTTCATTGGAGGACTTTAAACTGACAAATATTCAAAGTAGGTTAAATTGAGCAAAGTGCCTGTTGTCAAAGCGGCTGTAGAACAGTGGTTCTCAAAGTGCGATCTGCAGACGCTTTCACGGTGTGTGCAAAGTCAAATAAATATTTACACATTTCTCAGCTTTAATTTCTAATACCATAAATTTCAGTAGATGCTTTGATACTGCAAATCAAAGCTCCTTTTAAGAGTGCAAAGGGTTCCTGAGACCAAAATGTCTGACCAAAACTGAGCAGGAGGGTGGATCAGATGATCTCTGAGATCCCTTCCAGTCCTCTGAATGTGATTCGTAGGTTTATGTTTCGCTTCTGTTCAGTTCCTAAATGTGCCTGTGTTCCTTTCCAGGACCATGTCACGCTTGTATCAGGATCCCAACTGGTCCCAAAATGATTTAGAAAAGCCACTCAGGGATGTGAAAAATCACGTGACAAAAAACAAGTTTGTGGCCAGTTTTGCCCCAGAAAAGCTGAAGTACTATGCAAAGGAACTGTGGCAACGTTATCAAGAAGGGTACTATGTATCTTTCACAGATCTATGGGGATTGATCATTGAAGCGCTGCTACGCAGTGAGGTATTATACTTTTTTAAACTTTTTTTTTTTAATGAATGCTAGGTTCATGTTAAATTTGATTAACCAGTAGTTTGACCAACAGATTTGTTATATTTATACTGTTGATTATAGCAATAGCACTTAGACCTATATACCGCTTCATAGTGCTTTACAGCCCTCTCTAAGCAGTTTACAGTGTCAGCATATTGCCCCCAACAATCTGGGTCCTCATTTTACTGACCTCAGAAGGATGGAAGGATGAGTCAACCTTGAATGGGTCAGGATCAAACTCCAGACTGTGGGCAGAGTTAGCCTGAAATACTGCATTGTAACCACTGGGCCACCAGGGCTCTATTATGTAGCACCTCTTTATGTGGAATAATCATTAACAGGGCTACAAATCTGCTGCGATTACTTCTGCCAAACTTAAGGTGACCAGACGTCCCACTTTTGGCGGGACATCCCCGCTTTTCAATGCATTTTCCCGCGTCCCGCCCGCCTTTTTAAAAGGCACGCTTTTTTTGGCGCTCGCAGCTCCCGCCCATCAGCTGCTAGCTTGCTGGGCTGGCTCATCGTTCTGTTCTCTATCCTACCGATGAGCCAGCCCAGCAAGCTAGCAGCTGATGGGCGGGAGCTGCGAGCGCCAAAAAAAGCGTGCTTTTACCTACCTACAAATTTAAGCCAGCCCAGCCTGCCGCTCACTGATTGGATTGGCCTGGACTCCAGCCAATCAGTGAGCTGGCTGGGATGGAAAATTTTCAGCACACCTGCGCGAGTCTCGATTTCCTTTCGCCAAAAGACGAAAGAGGTTGCAGCTGCGCTGACTGGTGAGTATTAAGAGCCGCAAGCAGATGGTGTGAGATGGCCGCCCGGTAGCC